AGCTATATTCACCAACATTTTATGATAGGTTGTGTGTATAAAGTTATAAACATTCCGATTAACTGTTGCTTTTGGATTTATCAGTTGAGACATTTTTTATGAGAAAGAGAAATGCAGCAGGAGTAACGTACAGGCATTGATAATACCAAGACTACATAATAGAGAGTACATAATCCCTATTATGTAGTCTTGATAATACCTAATACCATTTCCGATGTAACCTTGTTTACATGTTGATTGCGATTGTTAAATATATGCCGCCACATCGTCCGAAATATTTTCTAATCAACACGCAAACGAGGCAAACATTACACAAATTCAATTTTCACTCCCCGATGTTATCTCCACGTTCGTAAACCTCGAATTCGAAATCTTGCGGTCGTGCGGCAAGCATGCGGGCAGCAATCAACCCTGACGGCCCAGCTCCAATCACAGCCACTCGTAATGGTGCCATACTAGATGTTTAACCTGTGTTTATAAAGAGGACAATGTAAGGTATTGTCATGTCAACGTGTATATAAAAAGTTAATTGGCATACTTGACTTAAGTATAACTGGGTGCGATGTGGTTGTAATGTCTAATCTATGTCCCTTGCACATGAATAATAGTGGTAATTAACATTTCCTGAATCCATTCACCTACGTGATACAGGAACTGGCATTGATACTGGTGGGTACACTACAGGAGCTGGTGGCTACACTACAGGAACTGGCATTGATACTGGTGGGTACACTACAGGAGCTGGCATTGATACTGGTGGGTACACTACAGGAGCTGGCATTGATACTGGTGGCTACACTACAGGAGCTGGTGGGTACACTACAGGAATTGGCCGACTTGGGCAGCAGCGCCCTGGTCTGGAGCTATTATTCAATATTGTATAATATTGTTCTCATGTCTGGAGCGGCGTTGGAAGCCTTTTCTTCACTAATGGACACTAATCTTGGTATACGATAGGTAAACATAAGAATTGAAATGCTCCTAAATGATGACTGTTTTAGGTTTTGTTCACATATTTGCCGGTATTGACTCCGAATCGAGGGAGGAAGGCATAGCGGTGATTACCCCGTCCCTGTACCCTCCAATGGAAATGCGCCGTAAATCCAATGTAGTTCCCGTAGATCCCGCCGTAGTTTCTTATAACGAGTCGAGCTTTCACACTCTAACTAGTTAGCATATGTAGGTTAGGCCGTGGTAAAGGGCCCACCCTAAGCAAAATCATAATGAGTTGTATTTCATAGATAGACCCAGGATAACATTGTTTCACAGAAGCATGGTCCGATCATAGCACCATACCTGACGCCATCACGATTATAGGTTGCAACAGGCCATTTTGCTGCTGAGAGAGAAGGAGACAAATAAAAAACTTTTAGAAACGGTGCTTTGTCCCACGGATGGAGCAGTAGCAGCAATAGCAGTAGCAGTAGCAGTAGCAGTAGCAGTAGCAGTAGCAGTAGCAGTAGTAGCAGTAGCAGTAGCAGTAGCAGCGATAGCAGTAGCAGTAGCAGTAGCAGTAGCAGTAGCAGTAGCAGCGATAGCAGTAGCAGTAGCAGTAGCAGTAGCAGTAGCAGTAGCAGCGATAGCAGTAGCAGT